AAATTAAAGTTAATTTCGTTTAAATTCATTTAATTCATGAATTAAGAAATAAAATTTTAAATTTGTACATGTGGTACAAAATATTAAGATAAAATACTTACATGGATTTATAATTTTATTCACATAGTTTCCATGCAATTTTCACATCATTTATAATATCATTTATATAAAAAAATAATCAATTAACTCCATTAATTAACATAACACATCAACAAAAATTTAACGGAGAAATTAAAAATAATTCAGATTTTAAACTTTATGAACTAAAAAAGGGATTTTGTTTAGCACAGAAATCAAAAATAGGCTTTTTTTTCAATAGTAGAGGGACCAAAATGGTATTTAACCCAAAAAAAATTCACACAGCAAAACACTCATCATTAAATATTTTCGTTGATAGATACCTCATGATAAACCAAATGGAAGAATACTGATTGTGGTTGTATTATAATTGTGATTTTTTAAAACATTTTATTATGAGAAAATTATATTATTATTTAATAATTATTTTAAAAAATTTATATTTTAATATACAAATTAAATTATATAAAATGTTAATTAAAATAAATTTAATTATAATAAATTATTTTTTTATGAAATATTTAAAAAAAAAAAAACCCAAATGCACACCGTTTGACGAGGGAAATGCGTTACTACCAAAAAGCATGAGAATGCGAATAAGTTGTCAATCATATGATATGACTGGGCAAAGGTATGTTTTGAGTGTATATTAATCAAACAGGTAAGTTAAATAAAAACAATGCAGTAAATTCCCCTCTCCATCAATCATATTCCGGGAATGGTTAATTTCCAGCAAATAATTAATGAGTTCTTCACTATTATTATTTTAATAATTCAAATTAATAATCATGTAAATTGTCAACTGGCGGATGGGTTGTAAGTAAAACATTCTAATGAGTTTTTGTCTTTTGGGACATATAAATAATAGAGAATTAATTAATTTTGGAGTTATAGTTTCTTGTTTTTGTATTAATTTATATTGTTCAAAAAAATTAACAACCTTAAGTGGAGTCTCTCTCTCCTGATTATGAGAGTATTTGTCTTATATCCTAATTGTGTGTAAGTAAAATGGTATATATAGAATTTTATATAATTCTAAATTAATCAATTTTGAAATTGTAATGTGTCTTATTTTTGTACCAATATATATTGTCTAAAAAAAATAAAGAATTATATTTTAAAATGTAAATTATAAAATAAAAATTATTGAATAAAAAAATATTTTTAATATTAAAAATTTTATTTATATTTAATAATTAATGTAACATAATTTAAACTATATTATATTTTTTTAGTAAATAATATTTTACTCCAAATTAGGTGTAAATTGAGATCAGCAGTTGGTGTTGGACGTGATGTTTGGTGCACAAAGTTGGTCAACTAATCAAAGTCTACATGCGTATACTTGAGTTGCCAGTTGTCAATTTGTCACGTCCCCAAATTCAGACTCAAACCATTTTGTTCAATTATTAAGTTGCATTCAAATCAAATATAATCAAAGTTTGTTCCCTCTGCTATGAGTTGTTGTGTAATATAATGACTAATGAGTTGTTGAGCAATATGGCAAGAGAAAGCAAAAAATCAAGATATTAATGTTAAAATGTTGAATCATAATCTTTAAATAAATAAAAATGAATGACGGGAAAACTTTATCTACATATGTGTATATAGATATATATTATTGGCATCTAAAGAAGGAAAAGAATTCAAGGTTATGTGAATTTTGTAAGTAAGTTTTCTTCTTTTATATATATTTGATGGCATAATAAAAGATAAATTTTTTTTCATTTCTTAATTTACTTCACTCATATTATATGATTTAAATTTAAAATTTTTTATTTTTATTAAAAATAAATTATCACTTAATTATTTAAGTCCTTAATAATTTATAAACAAATATTATTCATTAGAGTTAGAGTTTAAATATTAAGACCAACACAATACAAAAGATTTATATTAAATATATACCTTTGAAATGATTTAAAAAAGAAATATAAAAGTACACACAAGTTAATTCTAAAACACCGTAGCTTGACCTTCTGAAAAAATAATACTAAGAGATAATTATCCATTTTTCAAATCAATTCTCATCATCTTGAGGTTTAAACACAATATTTTGTATAAAATAATTATCAATAGAGAGAATCCTTAGGGTCAATAAAATTTATATCATATTTCAAATCATTCCACTCAAAACTATGTCTAATTAAGTGTAACATGACAAACCTTAACTAGGGTAGGTTTCATTAACTTCATCAAATTTATTAAAATAAA